GCCATGTGTGCAAGCACCATGTGCACAAGCAGCACGTGCAAAAGTGCCACATGCACAAACGCCATGTGCACAAGTGCCCTGTGCACAAGAAGTGCCACATGCACAAGTGTCCTGTGCACAAGCGCCACGTGCACAAGTGCCTTGTGTGCAAGCACCATGTGCACAAGTAGCACGTGCACAAGTGCCCTGTGCACAAGTGCCACATGCACAAGTGTCCTGTGCATAAGCACCACGTGCACAAGTGCCCTGTGCACAAGAACCATGTGCACAAAGGCCAAAACGGGAAGCTTTGCCCCGGGGAGTGCCACATGCACAAGTGTCCTGTGCACAAGCACCATGCGCACAAGCGCCACGTGCACAAGCAGCATGTGCACAAACACATGCACAAGCACCCTGTGCACAAGCACTATGTGCACAAACACCACGTGCACAAGCACCACGTGCACGAGCGCCCCGCGCGCTCTGCACGGAGCTGGGGCGCTGGCTGCGGCCGCAGGACAGAGCAGGGCCGGGAGCAGCCCCCGGCTCCGTCCGTGCCCTTGTGCTTCTCCCTGGTGCCCGCGGTGCTGCGTGCCACCCCCCGCGCGCTGCGCTCCCGCCGGGACCCGGGCGCCCCGTCCCGTCCCCGTCCCCGCGGCGTCTCCCCCCGTCCCGAGTGCTCGTGGTGCTGTAGTGACCGTCACCCCTCCCCGTCAGTGCTGTGTCAGGCAGACTTGTGTGTACAGGTATGGATTGTAACTAAATATAACCGTGTGGGCTCATGGCTAGAGAACTCCTAGCTCCATCCGTGTAATAACCGTAGTGTAACCGGGGTTCAGGCATTCCCGCATCCGCCTTCCCGCATCCTCCCCGGCCGCTCGCTCGCTGTCCTGGGAATTCGCTACCTTCCTGCTGGCCCTCGTGCTCCCCAGTAGCTCCCTCAGCCTTGCTGAGGACATTATATATTATTAAATAATAATATATACGTTGCTCCCGGAATAGCGTGCTGGAAGCTTCTGCGCCCGGTTGGCACTGAATTTGGGTGTAAAGAGAGGTAAAAGGGGATCCCTGTCCGTCCCCGGAGCTTCCCACGCACGATAACGCTGCTCCGGCAGAGCTGCTGGGACAACGGGTATTGCTGAGCGCTGGAGTCAACCGGCTCCGCTTTGTGCATCGACTTCAGGGTGTTCGGAGCATCTTGACAAGAGGATGGAAAGAAGAGCTGTCCGTTAGGAGCTGTTCCCAGTGTTTAGAATGATCCCCTTGCTTAAGTGATGCCTAGAAAACGCGTCCCTGTTACCGACCTGGCGCGTTTTGAGCAGAACCTCCCTACTTCGAGGGGCCGCGCTTGGATTTTGCCCTTGTGAGAGGAGGAGGCTCCCTCGGGGCGCCCGGCCGGCAGCTGCTCCGCAGGGTGGAAAATCAGCTCCCGTCGGGAGCCAGCGGCCGCCCCAGGCTCCTTTCCAACCCTTCCCGCCCTCTTCCCCCTCCGCTTTTCCCGGG